GATATTATCAGACTCTATTATTGAATCTTGAGCAATGACTGAATTGTTCATTGTTTGACCTGTACAATGATTACACTTTGATAATTATATTTGATTACTGAAAGTTATTTTCTGATGTCTGATTATAATGTCTTTTTGTTTTTTTTGACAGTCTTGGACTCATCTTCCTCAGGTGTTGCATATTGCAGCCTTTTTTTTTAAAAAAAACATTGCATTTAAACATCCTAAAATAGCTTTCAGTAATTGTATATTATTCAAGGGTGCAGCCAAATTTCAAAAACAGAATTTTGTTTTTATTAGTCATGGTTCTATTTCCAGGCACGACCAGGAACACTGGTGTTTGATCCTTTTGTTGGKACGGGCAGTACTTTATTATCATGTGGACATTTTGGTTCAAGAGTGTTTGGTAGTGACATTGATAAAAACTTGATAACAGGAAGAGGTAGTGTGACTCATATTTGATTATCTTCACCACCTCTCGTTCACCCCAAGTGATGATGATTATCTTGAAAAACATCATGTTCACATGTACTGAACAACTGCTAGAGATCATCTTAGTCATTCCATCCATTCATTAGCACAATTTTCTATTTAATCATTCATTCATCCATTCACAACTTTCCATACTCAGGTTCAGTGACCACAAACAAAGCATTGACCCGAGGCATCAAGGTACAGTGAGCACATAAAAAAAAGCTGTGCTCAGTGTTCCTTGACGCCTTGATTCAATGCTTTGTTCGTGAAGCTGGGTATGGAAGTCATGAATGCAATGATTTACCTTTTCACTTGCTCATTTATCCTTCAATCCTCCCATTCATTTGTTCATCTTTTTATTCATCCATTTATTTATTTRTTCATCTATTGATCTATCCAACCTACCTTTTAATTCATTCATCATCTATTCATGTTTCAAATCAACGTTGCATTCTACCATCTGTTCATCCATCCCTTCTTTCATTGTTTCATTCATTCGTTTCTTTTGTTAACCTGTCTGTTTGCTCATTTGTTTACCTTAAGGGAAATCATCACGTGCATCAAGCAAGTGCAAGTGGAGAAGTAAGTACTCATCTTAGTGACATTATAGCGGAAATCGTTGCATCGCGACTTCTTCATTTTGAAGTTTGTTTGGATATTGTTCTTCCTGCAATCTGAATGGTGGAGCTCTTCCTCAACTCGTTCAGTCATAGGCTCATTTATATCAAGCTACTCCCACAAGTCAAGGATTTCCCAACGATTTCCTTTGAAAATTGAAGTCACAATGCAGCGGTTTCTGCTGTAATGAATAGATGAAGTGATGGATGGATGAATGAATCTTGATATCTGCTAATACAAGTATTCCTATGTAAATTATAAAGTCGAATACTGTAAGAATATATTTACCAAGTAGACATTGATGTTCATGATCAAATAGGCTAATCTAATAGAGTACTGAAGTGTAATGTCACGTGATCAAATAGGCTAATCTAATAGAGTACTGAAGTGTAATGTCACGTGATCAAATAGGCTAATCTAATAGAGTACTGAAGTGTCACGTTTTTTTCGAATTGTTTGGATTTGTTGAAATGGAAAAGGAAAAAGTATCTGTCTACCAAATTTCCTCGTTCCATTGATAGCGAAGATATAAGCGCTATTATGGTTAGGTGATCACATACCTAAACGTTTGTAAATTTATAAACGTTTGTCTGTGGTCGCATATATCTCCGTTATGAGTTGAACTGGCACACTCAACTTTAGCAAGATCGCATTAAAAATGATGCACTTTTAGAATATGGAGGTCAAGTTAAAAAACATTTTGTCACATCATTACTTTGGTACTCTGTTGTCC